ACTGCCACCTGGGTTTTAAATCAGGACAATATATCTGTGCATGTTCATACTCGTTCTTGTGTTTACAAACCACCTGCAACAACTGAATGGTCTACATTCTGGCTATTTTTAACTTTAATACAGTAAAACCTCCATTCAGGTTTGAAAATGGATGCCCTATGTTAAAGTCCCTCCAATTTCCTCTCAAGTGCAGTTAAACCTTTTCCAACGTACAATGCAATCTGGCAGCTTTTCTAGCCTCTCTCTGTTCAACTAATCACTGCTCCTAGCAGTCTGTCAAATCAAGTGTGCTACCTCTCCCTAGAAACTTTGCTTCACGTCTGGACTTCAGCCTACGTCTGGGTGTCCTTAATGGCAAGCATACCTTGGTACAGAAACCAGTGGCCAATGCTCATATAAGATTTTATTTTCACTTCTAAAATACTACTGTTTTCTAACTCTCCCTCAGAATATCCGTACCTCGATTGCTTCAAAAACATCTTTTCTTTCGGAAATCTGCACCAGAAACACAGACACACTCTCTGATAAATAGGACAGCAAGGAGTGGTTATTACCTTATCTCCTCCTCCCAGAGTGAAAAAACTGCTCACTCTATGGCTATGTTTAAACCATGCAACTTTATCCACAATGTGGCCATCTTCAGCCTACTTCTCCTACTTAGACATTTCAGCAATACCAGTGGGCAATTAAGTTGCACAGTGGAAAACAAAATTTCTTGTCCTTAATTTGCAGGTTAATTAAACTGTAAAAGAGTCTGTGGAAGTTAACATTTGTTTCACTGCTGCTATAACAATTTGAGTATCTCACATTTTTCCCTTGTATACTTGATATTATTGTTAATAGATCTCTTGGGGAATGGCTGTGCTTTCAGTAGCTGCAGTAACTATCCAGCCTCATCAGTGCTTTCAAAGCAGAGTAATTTCAGGCTCTATAGCTAACATTTCATTCGTTTGAATGATATATTACCCCCTTTTCTCCCCTAAACATGCCATTCTCAACTTGGAGCGCACACTGTGGTGCGCATTTGGTCTAAGGTGCCAGGGGGAAGGCTTCACTAGCCGGCAGACCTCCTCCGCCGGCTCTCCCTGAGGAGGGCAGGGCAAGAAGAGGATACAGTCCCTCCTCCTTTTCCTCCTCCTCCTGTGTCCCAGCACTGACCGCAGACGCATCCCCCTACTACCGCTACAGCGGAGAGACTCCCCAGCGCCCCGCATCCCCTCCGCCTCTCCCTGCCCTGGTCCCTCCGATGCTGGGGAAGAAGGGGGCAGCTCCCCGCCGTCCCTCACCTTGTTGGTGAAACAGGACGCCAGGTAGAAGAGGCAGAAAGCGAGGCCACCCGCCGGCCTCTTCAGATACATCTGTCACCGCTCGCCCAGCCGCGAACGCCCCTGCACGCAAGTCCGGCTGGCGGCGGCCATCGCAGCGACACGTAGCACCAACGGGAATCGGGACCCCGCGGCCGGCACCGCCTCCTTAAAGGGCCGGTGCTGCCTCCTCGCAGCGGCCCCGCGGGGAAGGGTTTGGGATACTGAGCATGGAAAGTCGGACATGACCCGACAGTGTGCGGTAGCAGCCCAGAAACCAACCGTGTGCTGGGCTGCGTCAAAAGGAGCATGACCAGCAGGTCGAAGGAGATGATTCTCCCCATCTGTTCCACTCACGAGACCCCACCTGCAGTACTGGCTTCAGCTCTGGGATCCCCAACACAGGATGGGTGTGGAGCAAGTCCAGGGCAGGGCCAAGAAGATGATCAGAGGGCTGGAGCACCTTTGCTGTGAAAACTGGGTGAGAGAATTGGGCTTATTTGGCCTGGAGATGAGAAGGCTCCAAATGACAGTTCAGAGCAGCTTCCAGTATCTAAACAGGGGCTACAGGAAATCGGGAGAAGGACTTCTTAAAAGGTCATGTAAGGACAGGACAAGGAAGAATGGCTTTAAACTGAAAGGGGGGAGATTTAGAGTAGATGTAAGGAAGAAGTTTTTCCCTGTGAGAGTGCTGAGGTGCTGGCACAGGTTGCCCAGAGAAGCTGTGACTGCCCCATCCCTGGCAGTGTTCAAAGCCAGGTTGGATGGGGCTTGGAGCAGCATGGTCTAGTGGAAGGTGTCCCTGCCCATGGAAAGGGTTGGAACTGGATGAGTTTTAAGGTCCCTTCCAACCCAAACCATTTTGTGATTCATCAGTGATGAGTAAGCAAGAAATATCCCAGGGAAGTTGAGAAGCAGTGAAAGACCTGCCCTACCTAGGCAGGGTTACTGGATGTTCTTTTATTATGGCCTAGGTAAGCCTTGTTCTTCCCAGATCTGGTATTAGCCAGTCCCTATCTGCTGTTCTCATCTTGGCTTTGCTCAGGTAATGAAAAGCCCAGGGCTCTCTTCTGTACAGGTACACCCTATTTTTAGAGGATGGAGCAAAGCAGCATGAACAAGGAGCTGAGCAATGCCTAAACGGGAGTGAGAGGGGCCCTAACTAGTAGACCAGAGTCCAACTCCAGCCTATAAAGTGAGCCTGACTAACCTGCTACATTTAGCCTCAAAAGAAAGTCAGTAGTGCACTGACAGCTCAGTGGTCTCTGCTGTACCAAAACAAATTCCAAGTGTTTTGGTCCATCACAGAATCAAAAAAAGTCATACAATAATTGAGGCTGGAAAAGACCCTTAACACTACCAAAACCAACAGTCAACCTAGCACTGCCAAGTCCACCACTAACCATGCCCCGAGAACCACTTACATGTCTTTTAAATACCTCCAGGGGTGGTGACTCCACCATTTCCCTAGGCACACTGTTCCAATGCTTGACAACCCTTTCTGAGAATAAGTTTTTCCTAATATTCAATCTAAACTACCCCATGCACAGACACAATCCCATATGGACTGGAAGGAGGTGGCCCAAAACAGACATCAGATTTCCAGTGCTGAGAAGTTTGGTCCATTGAGGCCTACAGAGATCAGTGGCACTGATGTGCCACTGTAATGGATGTGATAAAGATGGTGTGGTGGGTGATACAGCATTTCCACTTCACAGAGCATGTTTATGTAAGCACGTCAAGAGTGGTTTTTGCAAACAAGGGAATACTTTGCATTGTGCCAAACATTCAGCCTGTAAAGCTTTAAAAAAGAATAAGAAAACTTTACAGGTATCTACAGAGTATCTACAAAGTAAGCATAATACTTTAGGCATTTTATTTTAGTGACATGTCATTTTAGTTGAAAATATTACAGTGATTTCTCTCTTTGTGCTTCTTCCAGCATTTCTTGTTAAAATTGTGAGACTTGGGCAAAGATGATGGATCTTCCTACAGTAAGCTGCAGAGGCAGGTTTGCATTCTTGTAAGCCACTTACAGTAAGAGATTATGAATGAAGATATACATTTCTGCCAGTATTGTTTATCATGACTAATTTGAATTACATATTAAGTAATTGCTATACAGCTTTGTAATTATTTTGAGTAATATGAATTTAAGTTTCTGCTCTATCTAGATTTTTAACTATTTTTATTAGGAGATGAATTGTTAGGTGAATGTGTGGCAAATTACTTTGTTTAGTTGTCATTTTACAAAATATTTCTTCATAGAATCATAGTATCATAGCATAGTTAGGGCTGGAAAGGACCTTAAGATAATCAAGTTCCAACCCCCCTGCCATGGGCAGGGACACCTCACACTAAACCATGTCACCCAAGGCTCTGTCCAACCTGGCCTTGAACACCACCAGAGATGGAGCATTCACAACTTCCTTGGGCAACCCATTCCAGTGCCTCACCACCCTTACAGTAAAGAACTTCTTCCTTATATCCAACCTAAACTTCCCCTGTTTAAGTTTTAACCCATTACCCCTCGTCCTATCACTACAGTCCCTAATGAAGAGTCACTCTCCAGCATCCCTCTAGGCCCCCTTCAGATACTGGAAGCCTGCTACGAGGTCTCCACGCAGCCTTCTCTTCTGCAGGCTGAACAGCCCCAGCTTCCTCAGCCTGTCTTCATACGGGAGGTGCTCCAGTCCCCTGATCGTCCTTGTAGCCCTCCTCTGGACTTGTTCCAACAGTTCCATGTCCTTTTTATGTTGAGGACACCAGAACTGCACACAATACTCCAGGTGAGGTCTCACAAGAGCAGAGTAGAGGGGCAGGATCACCTCCTTCGACCTGCTGGTCACGCTCCTTTTGATGCAGCCCAGGATATGGTTGGCTTTCTGGGCTGCGAGCACACACTGAAGCCGGCTCATGTTCAGTTTCTCATCGACCAACACCCCCAAGTCCTTCTCCTCAGGGCTGCTCTGAATCTCTTCTCTGCCCAACCTGTAGCTGTGCCTGGGATTGCTCCCACCCAGGTGTAGGACCTTGCACTTGGCATGGTTAAACTTCATGAGGTTGGCATCAGCCCACCTCACAAGCGTGTCAAGGTCCCTCTGGATGGCATTCCTTCCCTCCAGCGTATCAACCAAACCACACCTGGGGGTGTCCCCGTTCCAAGGTGCCAGGTCTCCCCGCCTTTCCTCCCGCCGCCGCCAAAAATACCAGCTTTAGCGCCCGCCGGTAACCCCCGCCCCGCCCCGCTGACATCACCGGAAAGGAGGGTGAGGCGCCGAGCCGCCTGCCAATGGGCAGCCTGACGGCAGGTGACGAGAAGAGGCAACTGGGGAGAACCCGGAAGGTTTCGTATTCGGAGTGTCGCTGCGTACAGAGAGCCCCTCTTGTCCCCTCCCGCCCACCCTTGCGTGTGCAGATGGACTCGGTCAGAGTTGCCGCCGACGGCGGGCCGGGCTCTGCCTGGCGGAACAAGGTGAGGGCCGGGCTTGGCAGGGCCATAGGGAGGGGAGAAGAGGGCGCAGGCCCGACCGGGCCTTAATGGTGGTGGTGGCGGCGGCTGCCCGCGGGGCTGCGTCCGACACCTCGCGTCCGCTCCGCGGCACCTCGACTTTCCGCCTCTGGTCCCATTCCTGGGAGGCGGATCGGGAGAAGAAAGGCAAGGTGGGGCACCGGGCGCCGTCTCTGGCCCGCGCAGGCAGACGGCACGCAGGTTGCTCCGGTTCGCGGCCGCACTTCTCCCGCCCGCCTCCCTTGGAGCTGTTGAGGCCGCGGTCTCCGCGGAGCGGTGTCAGTAAAGCCAGGGCTGCAGTTATTTGGGAAACTGAAGGTTTGGCTCCAGTGCCCAAGCGAGTAATGAGCCGCGCTGGACAAGATATGGCGTAGTTCGCTGCGGCTAGCGATTATCTCCTTGGCGGAGAGAGCTGCTGTTAAAACCCGATAAATGTGCTTCTTGCCAAACTCTGATGGTAAAGCAGGGAATTGGATCCCGGTGAATTTGGTTATCAAGGCGGTAGGCAGTGAGTCAGAACTTGGAGTCCTCATTCGTCAACCCCCACCTCTCCAAGCAAAGTTGTGTGTATGCTTCTGCGATTTTGAGGTGATGTTAATGATGGCTGTCCTTTCACTGCTCCAGAAACGGAGGAGGACGCCGTGCATGAGCCATTACTGTTGTGGTATTCCAGGAGAGGTTCTATATAGACTCTGTAAGCAAACTTTATGCAAAGACTTTGCCACTGTCTCAAAGGGTTCTCGCTTACCGACTCCCTCCCCCCATTAGTAAGTGACCATGAACATGCTTTCAATCACAGTTCTCCTTCTTGAGTTTATGAAACTGTTCTTTCAGGAATTTTACATAGTTAAGTTCATCATACTTCCCTAAGTACCTGTAGCAGGCAAGCTCTTATAAGATTACATGAGCTTATTTTAGAGCCAGTGATAGCTAATTATCCTGATCACTGTGTTGCCACTGCACTTCTTGCTTACTTGAAGAAAATGTTTGTTCATTCACAGTGTCCGTGGGGAGCCCCTAACACAGCATCAATATCATGTTCCTTTGCTGATGTAATGAGTGAACAGCTGGCAAAAGAGCTGCAGCTGGAAGAAGAAAATGCTGCTTTTCCTGAAGTGGTTGCGTAAGTTTTAAGTCCTGGATTAGTGATTTCTGTGGTTATGAAGCCATCTTCTATCTCTTGTGCTTTCTCCTACCACGTGTTTAATGTGTTGTGATATAGTAAATTCTTTACCTGTTAACTCTGTTTCTTCAGGTCGTTTTCAGTGAAGTTGGCTTCCCCAGTTAAACTCTTCCGTAGATTCTCTTCTCTGTCACACTTCCTTCTTTCCTGATGTTTTCTTTGTATTATTTTGGGTGCTTTACGCCAGTCTCTGTAAACTCATTTTGAGAAATGTTGTCAGGAATGTTGTTGCTTGAAGTTTTTTTTTCTTCCATTTCATAGACTTGTTAACAGTGTACAAAACTACTTTGAGAACTGTCAAGTGCATCACCTGTATCCCCCTAATACTTGGATGTTCTAAACATACAGGCCAAGATCTTACTAGTTTTAAACTCATACATGTTTTGTTTATGGCCTTTTCTGTGAAACAAAGCGAAGCAACAGTTTGTTTATTTTTAAATTTGTTTTTATATGTTTGTTTATGAAATATGCACACATATATATATACCTGTATGCCTTCTTTCTATTTCCTCAAGGGCATCTTAAAAATAGAGCCTAATGCTTCATATAGAATGGTAAACAACCAGAAGCTTAAGTTGTATTTGCATTGTAAGGGTGTAGCAAAGTGAAATTAAGTCCTGCTATATTACTATTTAGTGTTGGCTTGGAGGGGGAGCAGACAGTTGAGATCTATTAATTTCTGTGCAGCTCTGCATGAAGTCTTTTGTATGAAAATGGTATAAATGGTCTTTGATGAAAGCGTATAAAGCAGTATGCCTGTTTAGATTATTGTGTCTAACTTTTGAAATTTGTGTTTAATTTTACGTAGTGTTGCTGAAGGACCATTTATTGCAGGAGAAAATACTGACACTTCTAGTGACCTAATGCTAGCTCAGATGCTGCAGATGGAATTTGACAGGGAATATGATGCACAGCTTCGGCGTGAAGAGAAGAAGATCAACGGAGATAGCAAAGGTACCCTCATTAGAAGAAATATTTTTGCTTTGGAGGTATTCTTGGCATTCTGCTTAAGTTGACAGAGCTGTGAGGAAGCAGCAAACCCCTGATAATCATGGGCATGCTTATTTCTTTTGTTTCTCAAGTCTCCATATCCTTTGAAAACTATCGGAAGGTGCATCCCTATGACAGTGACAGCTCAGAGGATGAGGTCGATTGGCAGGATACCCGTCATGATCCTTATAGAGCAGGTATGTGGTGGTTTTTAAGACCACACTTTCTTCAGTTAATAGATATAAGAATATGACATAATTAAATTCTTTTTTTTTTTTTGAATGTAAGAAGACATTCCAGTTTCATGTAAAATCAGGTCACATAACTGGGAGGTGTTATGCAGGTAGTTAGGTGGGTTACTTCACGTTTCTGTCTGCCAGTATACTGGCTTCGGTGGCTGAATCTGGCAAAACAACTATTGCATGTGGCAAGTACTCCTGGGATATGCATATCTGTCATGTACATTTGGCTGTGGTATCCGCATATACTGAATATTGCTGTTTTTAAGACACCCAAAGTGTGTCTGACACCCCAGAGAAGACAGAAGTAAGTCATTACATAGCAAAAGCGGCTCTCACGCTTAGGGTAAGAGAAGACTGCATTAAGATCATACAATTGAAGTCTTTTATTCGATTTAAAAAATAAATTGTTACTTTTGTGGGCATTCTGGAACCTTTATGAGCATTGATTAATTTTTTTTATATGTAAAGCTTGATTTATTTTTCTTCCTCCTGCTAGATAAACCTACTACTACACCTAGAAGGGGCTTCATAGGAAAAGGAAAAGACATTACTACTAAACATGATGAAGTGGTATGTGGAAGAAAGAACACTGCTCGCATGGAAAATGTAAGCAAAAACTTGGGGAAACTCACTTTGTATGTGAAACTGGAATGCTGTAATTCAATGAAAGAATTAATGCTTGGATTAGTTATTCAAATATGCAGTTTGAGTTGTGCAGGAAATTTGTTTAATAATAGTTTGTAAATGACTATGATTCAAGAACTTGCACAGAACTGTTTTGGCAAAACAACTATCAGCAAGTTTGGTATTGGCAAATAAAACACCAAGGCTATTTTTGAAAAGTGTAACTGTTGTGTAACCTAAGTTTTATGCTTCTTAAAATTAGTTTTGCCTGATGAGCCAAGGAACTAATTTTCAGTCAACTGTTCAACTTGCAGCTTTTCATAGTGTAAACATTTTGTTTTCTTTAATGTAAGTGGTGCAACTTCTGCAAATAAGGAAATACCGCAAGTGCTATTTTTACAGGATGTTAGGTAATCTCATATCAATTTAGGCAGAACTTCAAGTTCTGAGTTCGGAGCAGTACAGTTTTCAATGGAGTGACAGCATTACACAAAGTGGTTTTCATAGGGTCCTAATCTACCATATTTTTTCCAAATTAGAATGAGAAGTTTCTCCTTGTGGCAACTTTTGGTGTCTGCTAGTAACAGTGCTTAAATATCTATTATTTCTACTTGTAGTTTGCACCTGAATTCCAAGTTGGGGATGGAATTGGGATGGACTTAAAGCTGTCAAATCAAGTCTTCAATGCCTTAAAGCAACATGCGTACTCTGAGGAGCGTCGAAGTGCAAGACTCCATGAAAAGAAGGAGCATTCCACTGCTGTATGTTTTTAATCAAGTCTTTCTCTATACTTCTTATCTGATGTAATATCTGAACACAGTCTGAGTAATTTCTTGAAACATTCCATTTTTAGTAAAACAGTTAAACATTACTGGAAGAATTGTATTAGCCAGCTCCTACTAGTAAAAGGCTGTCTTTATTTAAGCTGCGTTACTGTGAGAACCAGCTCAAAGTAAGATCAAGCTGCTTCCATTATTTTGTCTTTGTTTTTCTAAACTTGTCTCTGAATAGCTACAATGAATAAACTGCCTAGAAACTGCTTATAGAAACCATCCAGAGGGTTAATCCTCTGTAGCTGAACCATGTGGATCCAAATATGTTTTCGTAGCAAATTTGAGGAAGATGAGGTGTCCAAATAAACTCTGACTTAATAATTTAGGAAGTCAGTTGATATGCTTTGTGGGTGAGTTTAGAGCAGGGCCTCTGGTAATGCCTGCTGTGGACTTGAAATCTGGGTGTTTTGCTTTATAGTTTTTGATAGACGAAGAATATAATATTTGAGATATTTTGATTTATGATTTCTAAAGACTTCTTGAAAACACTGTAAGTAAGTGTTCTTGAGCTACAGTCTGTACTTTATGTTGAATTGCTAAAATACTGTATATGCAACACAGCTGATAAGGTGGTACCTGAGGGTATTAAATCTTAAGATGACAGTGCTGGAGCAGTTTGGCTTTGTTTCATCTGCTTGGTTTGGTTTTGTTGTTGTGGTTTGTTTGTTTGGGTTTTTTCCCCTCTCTGTCAATTGAAAGAATGCTCTTAATACATTATTCTTTCCACCTAGTTGAACACTTGCAGTGTATAAATACTCTAAATGCACTGTAAAGCAAAGAATTATGTTAATGACTATTCATTTCTTGTTTGTAGGAGAAAGCAGTGGATCCTAAAACGCGTTTACTTATGTACAAGATGATCAATTCTGGAATGCTGGAGACCATCACAGGCTGCATCAGCACAGGAAAAGAATCTGTTGTTTTTCATGCATATGGAGGAGAGTAAGTATATTGTTTGTTACTAACAGTAGCTTTAAGTACCAGAGGTGGTTTTAAAAGAAGAAACCACAAAAATACTTAAAGTTTGTATTAATGTACTTGCAAATAATAATGTAAGAATCTGAAAACCAAATGGTACCAACCATAAAGTAAAAAAAATCCCACTTTAGAGACCGTGGAGACCATTTAATGAACAGGGACAAATCCACTGTAACTTTCTGTGGAAAAATATGAACTTCTTTTGTAAGAAGGAAGTCTTGAAATTCTGAGGAACTCTTTCCACTGACCTGCCCCAGAGTACAGAGCTGTCATGATCATCTTGGGCTGCCTGAAGATTGTCTTTCCATGCAAACTGCTGCATTATCAGCTCCATCTGTGCAGTTCAGTGGAGGTGCTGTTTTTACTTTTGGGTTACCTTGAGAACAGTGTTGGGATGCTCTTCACTTTGCAAGTCATGCAAGAGTCCTGTTTTAAAGACTACCATGCTGGAAGGACTGTGGTATGTTGGTAGTGATGGCAGTGCATTTAAATCACTTCAAAATAGTGGTGTTTCAGAAAGAACTAATAAACCCCAAATACAGGTAATCAAGGGATGTCAAGAGAGGGGTAAGTTGGGGGTGGGGAGAAAAGATGCACCATGTCTTTGTGGTGCTTAACAAACATTTTGATACTTCCATTATATTTTTTAATGCAAGATTTTTTTTCACTCAATTTCTTGAAGCAAGTACATCCACTAATAGAGCTCTTCTTATGACATTTAAATAAAGTATTAACAGATTAGGAGATGGAACCTATTTGATAAGCAACATATAATCAAAATGCTAAAACCCAAATATGTATATAAGCTTAATTATAGAGCTCTTAGAAACTTCACTAGAATTGGCTTCCAAATTTGATAGGAAAACAGATTTTATATTAAATATTGCTTTATCTTGAAATATTAAAAAAAAAATAAGAAAAGAAACCCTTGCATTAGCTTGTGAAGATGTAAATAGTTAACCTTGTTATATATTGGACTTTTTCCATAAGAAGTGCAACTGAAGATAAAGTTATACCTCCAGAATGTGCCATCAAAGTGTTTAAAACAACTCTTAATGAATTCAAGAACCGTGACAAGTACATTAAGGATGACTACAGATTTAAAGACCGCTTTGGTAGATTGAATCCACGAAAGATTATTCGTATGTGGGCTGAGAAAGAAATGCATAACTTAACAAGGTAAGGAAAAAAATGGTGTAGCTGTCAAATACCTGTTGGTTTCCCGTTTTGTGTTTTAAGGAAAATATATCTGGGTAGAAGGTTTGATTTGATTTTAGGCTAAATAATGTACAACCCGGCACAGATTGAATAAGCTGTTGATTTCTTATAGTTTAATGAATTGGCAGCATTTCCGGTGATTTAGTAGCAGAGTGTACAAGCCCATGAAGTTAGGCTGTAGCTGTAAAAATGATTTTTATTTTTTTAGATCTACTTGGGACTTTAAGAATCAACTTTTCCTATGTGAAATACTGTGAAATATATATATATTTAGCCAGGGTTCAGTTGGCCTATCTCAATGGCTTTTCGGCTCTGGATCAAGTTTCTCACTCGGCTCTCTTAAGACTGAAAATGAGCAAGCAGGAACTAGAACTGTAGGGTTTGGGGGGGTTTGTATTGTTTTTCTTAATCAGTATCAATTTTCTGATCCACAGAATGCAAAATGCAGGAATTCCTTGTCCTAAAGTGGTTCTCCTTAAGAAACACGTCTTGGTTATGTCTTTCATTGGCCAGGATCAAGTCCCAGCTCCTAAACTAAAGGATGTAACACTTAGTAGTGAAGATATGAAAAAGGCCTACCATCAGATTCTTAATGTAAGACAATGCTGATTTCTCCTCCAGTTCTGGGTTGTGTTTTCTTTTAGGGGAATAACTTAAAGGACAAATCAGCATTTATTTATTTTTCAGGATGCTTGCACCACTTCCAAGATACAGAGTCCAAAGGCTTATTTTGCTGCTGTTTAATGTGTGACTCAAAATAAATAAAAAATTATGCCCTTAAACCAAATAAATTTAATTCCAGTGGAAGATGTGCTGGAACTTGATGACAAACAGATATTTAGCAGCAGAGGAATTATGAGCAAATAGTCCTCCTTTTATAGAAGCAATATGTGGTTTAGAAGGTTCTCTGAAGTCTGTCAGGGCATACCAAACACGTAATTTACAGTGCTTAAGCACTCTCCAGTGGATAGCCCCTCCCCAGCCTGCTTTTTAGCAAATCTAGAAATCAGAGAATGAATCAGAGAATATTCTATGGTAGATACTTTAATTTCCTATTACCTGCTGTAATTGTTTCAAACATGTACTTGCAACTGTCCACTTGCTATTACTTTATAGACCAAATCAAACTGACTAAACAAACCAACCATCCATCCCAGCAGCTTGATAATACAGATGGTCTGTGCCTCAAATCTTGGGACCAATAGAGCAACATGGCCATGTTCTAAGTGAATATGCATACTAGTTAGGATTCAGTATCTAAAACTGTGATACTTCTTTCCTGTGTGATAGGGGTGAGAAGGACAGGTATATTTTGAAAACGTGTTTATCTGCCTCATGCATGCGGACTGGTTAGCAGAGCTGACGTGAGTTTACCAGACTCATTCTTCTGACTTGCCAAAGCTAAGCTAAGTGATAAAAGCTTAGTTTGCTGGCATTTTACCAAATTTGTGATTCCCTGTATGGAACTTTACTGAAGACTTAGAGGAAAAAAAATCCAAGATATAAATTTGGTGGTGACTGGGGAAATAGTCATGCAAAAGATATTTATTTAGCATATAGCATACTTCATTCATTAATTTGATTCCTTGCAGATGATGCAGCAGCTGTATAAGGAGTGCAACCTCGTCCATGCCGATCTGAGTGAATACAACATGCTTTGGCATGATGGGAAGGTGAGCTTATCCTCAGTGTGGGAAGGAAAGGTTTCATCTAATGTGAAACGTTAATACCAAGTGAATTGCTATCTCTCTGTGACTACAGGTGTGGCTAATTGATGTCAGCCAATCTGTGGAGCCAACCCATCCTCATGGACTTGAGTTTCTGTTCAGAGACTGTAGGAATGTTTCACAGGTAGGACCTCTTCAACTGACTGTCTTCTCTTACGCAGAATGTTATCCAATATAAAATCAATTTGGAGCTAACTAATAAACAACTAATACAACTCCGTTAAAAAATGGTCACCATATATATATATATATATATGAGATAATATGACATATATATGGTGACCGTATATATGGTATAATCATATGTATATACGATTACTCATGTATTTTTTTGTATTAATTGTTCTCTGAAAGGAGAAAAAAGTGTGCAAGAATGAAATGGTACCACTAGAACTTAAAACTTTCACTTATTTCTATCTTCAGTTCAACAAAAGCAGAAGTGTCATTTTGACTAAATAGTGTAATTGTGATGTCAGGAAGGAAATCCATGTTTTCTTTAGTGTAGTACAGCGGTTAATGTGTCTTTTTCTATTGCCTAGTTCTTCCAGAAAGGAGGTGTGGCAGAAGCACTAAATGAGCGTGAACTCTTCAACGCTGTCTCAGGTTTAAATATTACAGCTGACAACGAAGTAGACTTCCAAGAAGAGGTACATCTTTCTGCATCTTAACATTTCAGTTTGGTTAGCTCATAGCAGCTGTTCTGATACCTTAACTTTCCACATGTAGTTTGTATGATTAGTGTGTGTGAGTATAATTTCAGCAATCCTTCTGCATCTCTTTTTCAAAGCTCAAATGTTTTCAGAAGATCAAATTGACAGACCTCTCCACCCCCTTTCCTGTTTCCCCTGCTCCCAAGTATAAAAGGCTTTATGTTGCATACGACTATTGCTTTCAGTGTTAAAAAAAAATTAGTGATCTGTTTTAGTTTAAAAGCTAGCTTTGCTGTCTTCCCTTACATATGTTAAAGGCTGTGCAGAGAAAGGAAAGCTGGGTTAAAATAATAATTCTACTCCTTAGTTTTCATGATTTAGATTTTGACTGACTTGAATTCAAATTTTTCCATAAGAAGTTTTCTTTAATGTTAACTGGTGTTTTCAATTTTCAAGCCTAGAATCATGCTAACATAAATATGGACTAGGAATCTTTGGTCACCTTTGGCTTTTAACTTTCAGATTTTGGTTGTAACTCATCAAGGCACGTTTCCCAGTATCAGACATTTAAAAAATATGTGATCAAACATTCTGTATTTATTAATTAAAGTAAGGGCAACAAGTTCCTAATGATAGTGTAAGTTTCAGCATGTAGTAGGTGGGAATCTGGAACTAGTTAACTCCTGGGGTAGGTCCTCAAAGTAAGGAAAAGATAATGGGAACACAGGTGTCACTGTTCCACAGTCCTTATGTATCTGCAAAAACCAGTTCCCTCACTGACTGTGTCATGAGCACTGGGGTGTGAGGTGGGTTTTTTTTTTTTGTTGTTTTGTGTCATCTTTTGTACATGTAAGTTTTATGGGAAGGACTTTACACTGCTATTTACATAAAGGTGAATTTGAGCAGCCCAGCCTTAAACTTCAGACTTTGACTTTAGCTGTAACTAAAATTATCTCCCCTGGAGTATAAGAGGAAGTAATCCAAACATAACAAGATCAGAATAAGCTACTGTACTGTGTTACTTGGACTGTACAAAACATTGGAGTATAACTCCCTTCAGCTTTCACCACTAAAAATTATTACAGTGGATTTGTAACGTTGGTATTATTTGAAATTTCTCCAGTGCTGGTGGATTGGCTGAGTTACAGTAGAGGTGTTCAGAGTTGGAAAAAGTCTGGGGAATACAGCTGAAGTCTTAAGAATCATTCAGTCCTCCCTGCAACTGGCAGTGTTCAAGGCCAGGCTTGATGTGGCTTTGAGCAACCTGTCTAGTGGTTGCCCATGGCAGGGTTGGAGCTGCATGATCTTTAAGGTCCCTTCCAACCCAAACCATTCTATGATTCTGATTTCAGTTACATAGCATGAGAAACTATAAAGGAGTGCTACTGTTTTTAGGAACTTGCTGAAAATAGATGTTTCCAGCTGTACTTCCAAAGCATGTTGCTCCCTACACGTGACCAAGTTTTTGAAGTGGCAGTACTGTCTATACCTGATCAGTCACCTCAAGCTACCTTTCAACACAACTTAGAACCATTCTGGTGCAGGCATGGTTTTATGATTTCAGCATGGATTTATTTTTGTCTCTCTAGATTGAAGCCTTGGAGAAGAGGAATGAAGATCATGTGCAAAATCATGGAAAGAAACTGTCGAGGTTTTCGAGCAGTGGAGATCCACCTATATATGATGAATAGCACTGACTGTATAGCTGCTACTGTAACAAAACACAAGTTTACTGCTTCTATGTTGGTGCAGTGGTAAATGCCAACTACTCGTGTCAAGAGAGTGTGGTTGACTGCGAATGCCAAAATGGAAAACACAGCGAGCGTATGGTGATGCCTCAGTGGTTTTATGTTTTAACTTAGCCCACACGTCAGGCTGGCACTGTGAGAATGGACCTCACTACCTCTTCAGACAGTCTGACAACTTCACCAACTGCCCAGTTTCATTAGACGAATGTAGCCAAGGCGGTCATATTTTACGTGATTGAGAGCTTATATGTTCTAGTTTTTTAAAAACAAAAAAACCCACCAAAACCAAATAAACAAAAAACAACCCCATCTTTAAAAATCATCTAGATAGTCTAAAATACTTAGTGGGAAGGCACACTAGGACAGTCCCTCTTTTTTTCCTATCGCTACTTGTAAAACTAAAAATTGTGTGTGGACACAGTGTGGGTGAATCTTTCATCCTTCTCCGTCAAGGGCAAAATGAAAACTATGCACTGCAGTTATATGAAAATGTTTATTTAACAAACCACTTTGTTTATAAATGCAAAAGTCTGGACCTTTTAATTTGAAGTACATGGAATGTGGCTCTGATCGTATCTGTGAATACAACTGGGTGTTACAAGAGAAACAGTTCTGAATTCAACCAGCAGAGGACTTCCTTGGTGATGAAATGCTGAGGGCTGCATTCAAGTTGCATAGCCCAGTGAGATCAGTTAGCTTCATTCTTGATATACAGATGGTTCCAAGTAGTCAATTCTTGATAATATTCCTATCTCTAAACTGGAATTCTGGATAGATCATCAACCATTCTTGCCATAAAGATAATCACAGACTATGAAAACTAAATGTTGATCATTGTTATTTTTAAATGAAGCTTTTGCTTACAAAAGAAATACTCATTCTTGTCTTTTTCATGCTTTTATTCTTAATGTGAGTCCTTTTTTTTTTTTTTTTTTTTTTTTAAGCAGGTTCTAAAAACCTAGCAATGTTTCTCTCCAGTGCACTTAAAGATGAACTGATGTAGTGGGATGGTTTGCAGCTAAGAAATTCTGATCAGCTTCTTTTTAACTGATGACTGTTTCTGCTGCTGCTCTTTATCAGGAGCAGAATATAGTGTGGTTACAGTGGCATTCTCACAGTGTGCTGTGAAAATGATACTTTTTTCTTCTTTTTTTGTTGGAAAACTGATGGTGAAGTAAAAACATTTTGTGGTGGTATTCTTGCATGGTTCTTGGCATGGTACAGGCCTTCAAGGATTCCTCAGTGTGTTAGGGTAGGACTGCACTAATGCATCCTAACACCTACATAAACAGTAAACAGCCTTGATGTTTATGCCAATTTCATCCCAGTACTTGGATACTCTTCCCCTTTCTAGATGAGACAGTTGTCTTGCACTTACCCCTTGCTTTTGAAATAAAGGAACTTGGGTCTTTTGGAGACTTAAGTCCATTCCAGATTGTTCAGTGAAACAGTTGCCCAAAGTAAAAGTATCAGGGAAAGAACAGAGTAAGTACTGAGAGGAAGATGCTACAGTTATCAAAGCCCTTCAGGAAGACTTAAAAGCTGCTGCTGCCAAATATAATAAATTCTTCTCCTTCAGAGGTGGCTTTTAAGTGAAGTGGACAGTCCTATCCTAGGCTTATTACAAGTTTAATTTCTTAGAGAAAAAAATACAAAGCAGTTGCTAGTACCTTACAACATGCTTGTCTAGGAAAGATGCTCATTGTTAAGGATTTTTGCATCAAGTGAGGAGAGAGGACAGAAGTGAGAGGAATGTGTTTTTTGGGGTGTCAGTTCAAACCGAGGCACCCCATCCCCTTCACCCTGTGTACCTCAATTTCAATCTTAATATTCCTATTGCAATTGCAGAAAGTGCTTGCTGTCCTGTTGGGAAGTAGAAGGTTAAAGGTCAGTAGAATTCCTTAAATTTTGGCCTTGGATTAACTACCTTTTGGCTAAAATGCAAAAGATTATTTTTTTTTTATTATGATTATTATTATTTTGTAAAGATTGAAAAACTTTAAGGTACTTTAAATGCTGCAGAAATACTTGTCTAGTTAGCATAGATTTTTTCAATGATGCAGAAGGGCCCTGCAGAACAAATAACTTGTGGTAAGTCCTTATCGTGACATTGGTTTCTCTTGTCTTATGTCCCAGTTGGACTAACTGGGTTGCAACTTAGCAAGCAGTTGTTCACATTATACCATGTTAGTATCTGATACTTCAGTTTCTCCTGTACTAAGTGGTGTCACTCTGGTCTAATCTGAAAACTTCTAAATTGGTATGATGATCTCAGGCTTTTTTCATTTTCCCCTTTAGTTTTTATTTCCCTTTCTAAACTAATAAGCAAATACAACTTGACAATATGACTTCTAAATTATACTGTAGGTTTTGCAACTACTGAACTAAGGCATTAGCCAGAGCATCAACCGGTAAACCCCGTTAGCTGGTTTATTGTCCAGCTAAAATACAAGAAATGCAAATGCTGAGGACCAGCCCAGACTTCAACTTAAACAAGGTTTTCATAGAATCACAGAATGGTTTGGGTGGGAAGCGACCTTAAAGATCATCCAGTCCCAATCTCCCGGGCCACGGCAGGGATGACTTCTATTACACCAGGTTGGTCCAAGCCCCATCCAACCTGGCCTTGATTACTGCCAGGGAGGGGGCAGCCACAACTCTGGGCAACCTGTACCAGTGTCTCTGAGCCAGGGAAGAATTTTTTTCCTAATATCTAATCTGAATCTTCCCTTTTTCAGTTTAAACCTATTGCTACAGTCTGTGATGAAGAGTCCCTCTCCGTATTTCTTGTAGGCCCTCTTTAGGTACTGGAAGGCTGCTGTAAGGTCTCCCCTGAGCCTTCTCCAGGCTGAATAGCTCAAACATTTTACCAACATTCCCACTATTCTATTAATACTGTTCCTGACACAAGGGTTATTTCAGGATATAATTTCCCTTTCCAGCTAGCCAGTCCATAGCGGTTTCATGTGCCAAAGCAGTATGGATAGCGCCCGTTCCCGTGCTGGAGCACAGACTCACCGAAGCAGAACTGCGAAGCAGCTCGGTGCCGGCGAACGGGCGCCGCGAGGAGACCAGCGGGGCGGGTGCCGTATCACGAGGCCCGCGTGGGAAGCGCCCGGCCCGGCGCGGCGCCTGAGTGCGCGGCGCCTTTAAGGCGGGCGGTCCCGCGTCACGGGCGAGGGGAGTGTAAACAGGAAGCGGCCGATCCGGGAGGGCTCGCCGGTGGCCGCCGGTGCTTGGGTGACTGGTGCCACCGCCGCCATGAGCCGCGAGCCGCCGCCGCCGGGCGAGGAAGAGGCGGCGGGAGGAGGGGAAGGAGCAGACGGGAGGGCGAGGGCCGCGGAGGGCGGTTGCTACCTGGCGCTGTGCGCGCGGCCCGTGCACTTCGAGAAGGCCAACCCCGTCAACTGCGTCTTCTTTGATGAGGCCAACAAGCAGGTGGGGACGGCGGCGGCGGCAGCGGCAGGCCGCGCTCCCCCGTGCTGACAGGGCGGCGGGCGGAAACCGGGCACCCCCGCCATGCCTCGCGGGGCTCTGCAGGCGGCGCCGCCGCGGCTTCAGGCCTGTTGCCTCAGCCTTTCTCGCTGCTGCTCTGCTGCCCCTCTGACAGAGCGGTGTGGAGGTTCTCATGCGTGGGTTTGGTTCTGACCTCTTCCCTGGGCTGCTGAGCGTGGGCCTGGTTAGGTTAGATATAAGGAAAAAGTTCCTTACAACGGGGGTGGTGAGACGCTGGCACAGGTTGCTCAGAGAAGCTGTGGCTGCCACATCCCTGGAAGTGTTCAAGCCTAGGCTGGACGGCGCTTTGAGCACCCAGGTCTGGTGAAAGGTCCCTTGCCCGTGCCCTTGACAGATGAGTTTTAAGGTCCCTTCCAAACCAAACCATCTATGATTTTGTGAGACTGCTGTGGTGTGAGGTGTTGCTGCTGGGGGCCTGGTTCAGGACCTGGCATCTTGAGTAGAGACAGCAATATTGTTCTGAAGTGCCTCAACGTAGGTATGGTAGGTTGAATTTCAGCTGCTTTTACTTTTGCTGCTGTAAGGTCTTCTGGGATTTTTCAGTCAGCACTTTTTGTTTCAATTTCGAATGTCCCAGCATTACTGCCAAACTTTGTCGCCTCACTGTTGGCTTCATTTCTCTGTATACTTATAAAAACTAATACTTGTAGCTTCACTTGTGGCTGAGACCTGAATGGGCACTTTGCTTTTAATTTCTTGGCTTTGGTTCTTTTAAATGCATTTGTCTTTAATATTACTACGGGCTTCTGAGTATTAAGCTCATTATAGCTAAAAGGTCCATAGTCTGTCATGAGGCTTATATAGATGCGGATGTATTCCACAGTCTTCATTCCCATAACCATTTTGTGACCTTACTATTCACAGAATTGACATGCTCAGGATTTCTTCCCTGTATAAATGTTACGATTTGCCATGTGTGGCATGGTCACTGGCAGTGGCATGTTTGGAGATGGGAGAGTATTTTTGGAATGTGTTTCTTGCTGTTGCTCTCTGTTCAGAATTATTGGTATCCTTTCTCTTTGTAAACCATAGTGCTTTGCTTATGTTTTGAGGTTCTGTTGAAATAAGATTTCTTACATCTGTCTGTCAGGAAACACTACATCTCAGTGCAGGTGTGATGTAACTATGCAGAAGCTGGTTGTTAAGACTGCACTTGAAAGAAACTGTAATCTAAATTCTCCGTGTTTTTTTTTGCTACTCTAAAATAGCTTAATTTCCAGTGTATCTTTAATCACTTGTAACCAGTATTTCAATGCCAGTTTCCCACATGAATAACCTTTGAAGAGGTCTGTCCTTGCTGTCTTCTCATCTCACAAAGATTAGGAGTGTTGCCTTCATTTTCTATCTATATTGATACTAAAAGTCACTAAGTATTTACAATTCTAGTAAGGCTGTAGACTTGTTTACAGTTTAGTCTTGTCACATGAGCATACTGCACCAGTAGTGTGTCTAATATTACAAAATAAAACAGAAGCATAGAATCAGCTAGATTGGAAAAGATCTTCAGGACCATCAAGTCCAACCATTATGTCAGGATTGCCAAGACCACTACTGAGCCATGTCAGTAAGGGCCTCATCTGCATGGTTTTTGAACACTTCCAGGGACAGTGATTCCACCACATTTCCTGGGAAGCCTGTTCCAATAACCGATCATAGTATGTGTGCGTATGTGTGTATATGTGCATATATATATATGTGTGTATCTGTTATTCTGAGACCTGATTGGTGTGTTTGGTGATTCTA